AGCTGCATTGGAAGTGAAGCAGCTGGGACTGAAACTGCTGACCAACTGGGATGCTACCATCCCAGCCAGAGGCTTAACCTACTATACAACAGCACCGGCCCCAGGTTCCCACTCTTAAAATCATGGACTGGGAGATCTAGTTTGTGAATTTTGGTTGCACAGAAATCACCTAGCAATCTCACTAAAACATATCTCTTTAAGGTAGAATCTGGATTATGTCATGATAGGGGAAAGCACTGATTGACAAACCACCATTAGAAGGCAAATGGTCAGGTTCTAGAGAAACACAGAAGAGCTATACACTTGATACCAGCTGGATTAGTTTCCACCCTTGAACGTTTTCATCAAAGAACACACTAGGATGGTGCCTATAATCAAAGTCAGTCTGTAGATCACCTTGAAACTTACTGGCATATTTCCACTTTCCTGTCTTTTTATCCTTGAACATTAATTTTCTCTCCAGCCCTGTCTGTATCCTCTTATGTTCAATATATTGTTCCATTGAAGACTGATGTCTCAACTTGCAGATTTCTTCCAATATTTAGTTAGTCTTACCTTTGGATATTTCATACTTTTGAGACATTACAAGTGCCATCTTTCATAGGTTTGTTTTCCAGAATTGGTAAGGAAAAGTACCTGCTTTGTACAATTTTGTATACCAGATCTACTTAATTCAATTACTGATTCACTGATTTCTTTTTTTTCTTTTTTTTAACTTTTATTTAATGAATATAAATTTCCAAAGTACAGCTTATGGATTACAATGACTTCCCCCCCCATAAGTTCCCTCCCACCCGCATTACACCATCCCAGTATCACTTTAAATGATGCCACTTTTAAATCTTCCTTTTAGTAAGTTGAATGTCATTCTTTTTTGACAATATGCATGGAGCCAAACCTCCTGTGTAATTTTCTGTAGAAGTTGCGTTCTTTCGTCAACTTTGTATCCAATCTTCAGCTGTAATTTCCATGTTTTGTAGCATTCTAAAATACTCTTTAGGATTGAAAGCTAATCCTTCTTTTTGTCATGTTTGAGTGGTTTTGTTCTTTGTTTACAATTCATAGATCACTTAGATTTTATTAACTATTTTTCTTCAGTTATACTAATTAATATTGCATTTTTCATGTACTATAATCTGAATTAGATTTTATGAAACTCTTTGGGCATGATGTAGCTTATTTAAAAAATACTGTTGGATTTACATTGTTTGAGATTTCAAATGTATGAATTTATTTCAATAACAGTGTCTTACAATTTCATTTTGCTGAAATATCTAGCAGTATTTGATCCACCAAGTTGAGATGTTCCCATAGAAGAAACAGAATTTTTACATTTTTCCTGTTCTCTATAGGAGTTGAGAAAATATCTGAAAATTGTTTATCACAATTCAAGTATTGGGAATTATTTTAATAACTGTGAGAATATTTGGATTTTTCAAATATGGCTCAACATATTTCATAATATTTCTATCTGAGAATATCTGAATTTCTTCTATATTTTTCAATGTATCAGAATTAAATGATTAATAAGCTCTAATATTAGTATTTTTATATCTAAATAGACCTCTTCAGCTCTCTTTGTATACACACACACACACACACACACAGAGTAATCTTATTGTTCGCACTGTTCCATCTTGCTGAGGTTCATAAATCTTTCTTGTTTATGATCACCAACTTTAAATTCTTCCAATTTTTACTTACTTCAATTTCCTTATAATGTCCACATTTTACCTTCAAGGTCTTGTGCTGAATTTGCAGTCATTGACCTACCTTGGTATGCATACTTATTTTTTTTTAAAGACAGAGTTACCAAGGGAGGTAGAGACAGAGTGAGGCCTTCCATCTGCTGGTTCACTCCCCAGATGGTTGCGGCAACCAGAGCTGTGCTGATCTGAAGACAGGAGATTCTTCAGAGCCTCTCATGTGTGTGCAGGGGCCCAAGGACTTGGACCATCTTCTACTGCTATCCCAGGCCACAGCAGAGAGCTGGATCAGAAGAGGAGCAGTTGGGACTAGAACTGGCACCCATATGGGATGCTGGTGCTTCAGGCCAGGGCTTAAGCCCACTTGCGCCACAGTGCCAGGTCCACTATGCATACTTATTACCGTGTATGTCAGGTTGAGTTCTTTTGATATGAATTTTATAAATGTGTGTACATATGTAAGCATAAGAATGTTCTTGAAGATTTATATTTTGAGCAGCAATGACTTTTGTCAAAGGCTAAGATTAGCCCCATTTATGATATTTGATGAGTATCATCCTCAGGATGATATACTGCATGATTTCTAAGATAGTTTTTCACATAGCACACAGTTTGTGTAGAGTTGCACTTTCTCACTCCAAGCATGGTACACTTGAATTTGGTGAAAGCATTTTTACCTGTATAAGCACAAGGAACCCAGACATGAGTTTTCCTATACTGAATTAGCACATACACCACACTACTCCCATGGACTGTACTCTGTTTCCAAAACCTTTCATTATCAACAATAAGTTTCAAAAAATTAGAATTATACTAAATATATGGTACAAATAACTACTCATACAACACAAGCAAAAACTGGAAAATCTTTATGATGCATGTGATGCATAGTTCTGATTCATGAAATAAATCTTAGAAATGCCACACTGTTTTATGGGGTGAATATTCTCCAATCTTGGTTTCTATTCATTTTTTACCATATGTATATCAGCCTGAACTCCAACATGGTCAGCATTACAGAGACATTCAGTGTTTTATATGCTTTCAAAAATAATATAGGGAGTGTATTGTGGAAAGTTTTATCCTTTTGTGGATTATTATTGATTATAAGGAATAATTTCTACCTGAAGGGGGGAAGACTGTTCTCAGCAGTCATATTCCACATACTTTCTTTCCATGGATAAGTTGATAATTTAAGAAACAGGTGGTAACTTCTCCAAGAGGCAGGCACTGACTTACCTGTCTGATTGGAAATCTCATTCTCAGGACAAGGTGTGCAATCAAAACAACAGGCAGGCTTTCCCTCCTGAGGGGTTTTCCTGAATCCAGGGCTGCAACTCACACTGCATACCGAGCGTGGAGTCTGAGAAAAATCAGATGAGTGTTGGTCATAGTTCAGACTATAACTTAAGTTCCAAGTAGAGGGTTTTCAAGTCCTGCAAACTTATTCACTGAAACTGTAAACATCTGTTTCTGACACAATGACAACATTCAATTTGATTTTCTTAAATAGATTCAAAAGATGTGGTGGAAAATGTGTGTGTACTGTCCATCCTCAGACACTAAAAACGTAAGAAAGTATTTGGATTGGAAGTGGAGTGGTTTAATGTCTCTAAGTGTCTTTTTAATAAGCCATACTGCACATACTCCCTTAGCAGTTGGGGGGTAACAATGTGTCGTGTGAACCTTATGATCAGTCCAACTTACCTCTGTAATTCCTGTGGCCCACTCTATCAAATTCTCAGAGAGAGACAACTGTTCACTCTGTGAAACGTATGGGGAAAACCACCCTACTTTAACCTTACGTCCAAAACCATATGGAAAATTCCAAAAGTTGAGAATGTCGTATTCAGCTTCCAAATTTTTCCTGTGATTCAAATTCACTAGGTCACCAGCTGGATTGGTAAACTGGAGATTCTTCAGAAATGGGTGCAACTGAAAAAATGCATCATATTCTCATGAAGACTGCCAAGCAATAACACATGAAACCCAGGTAAGAGAAAACCTCTCTTTGTCTGTAATCACAAATGAATGATAGAACCTGTTTAGAACCACCCAATGAATTGAAGTAAAAAAAATAAACCTGATGAGAACTACATCAAGGTAAGTATGATTTCACTCATTTTTCTACAAAAACAAGTGGAATCAAAAATATCTAGCTGTGAGATTCAGACCATTTCCAACAGTGCAGTCCAAGCTACCAACACTCATTTTCTCAGTGTACCTTGGACAACTATCTGTAATAACGTTACTAGAATAAAGAACTGTGCAAATTATATGAGATCCCTTATGTTCATTGTAGATGAACATCCTCAGTAACATTTGGACCTGGAAATAATTACTGTACTGCTGAAGTTGAAAATGGAATAACACAGTCTAGGTATTTCACATGTCAAAATTAAATTGGCAGAATTGGAGAGTATTTTTAAGTCACAGCACTGATGCTTATCCAAGAGACCTGCCCACTTTTCATTGGAGCCCTTTTGCTAATGACAAATTACAGGCAGAGGCTCATTTTTATCTTGTGTTTTGCAGAAAGGTTCCCAAGCTACTTGGATTGAACACCTGCAGAAACTCTTAAGGGGATCACTTCAGGAGTACATGTCAATAATGGAAACCAAGTCACCTGCCAGGGAGAAAATGCCACCTTTGACCCATTGTTCACTGGCTGCATTTCTACCTCTTGTAGAAGCATCTCATGTACACTGTGGGCCACAGCATACACAGCATTGTATATGTTGTAACTCCCATCACTCATGCTCATATCAAAATGATGTGGAGGCAAGGATTCCAAGGAGGCATTCAGTGGACAGTTCTGCAAAGTTTTACAGGATGTCCCAGTAACTGAGCAATTAAAAGCCAGCGACCAGAATCTGGAGAGGTAAGAGTCTTCGGGGTACTTGGAAGGGTTAGCTCTCTGAAGAAAGTTTTTGAAACCAGAGATCTCACTATGCTGGTGTGAAAAAATGAGAGTCCCATGGAATGAGTTGAGCAGGAAAGGTTTCTCAGAACTGGCAAAATCCCATTGTGAAGTGGTGACCCAGACTTTCCATGTCATTAACTGCCCCCATGATTGAAAGCTGGCGCCTATGAGTGACTCAGTGACACAGAAAAGAATCACCACATTTGCTGATGATTTTAGGATCTGTATATGAAATGTACTTTGGAATGAAGAAAGTGACTCTACAGTGGCTGGGATCAATTCCACAAAGTCTACACAGATGCCATTCTTCTGTAACTCTACTTTCAAATCAGACATAAACTGAATACCTTTTGGGAGGTCTGAGATGGCCAAACCCACCCAGGTCCACCCAAAATGGAGCATCAAGGAGGCCATGCCATGGGCCAGAGAAGTGTCTTTGGGTGCCAACTGATAGAGGGAAGGAAACTGACCACTGTCACTCAGAAGAGGTTCAAAAGGCCCAAGGGTCAGCTAAGGGAAAAGGCAAGAAATCTGTGTAAGGTTATTGTCATAGTGTAAAACATTATTCCTGAAAAAATTAAGCAGATAACGGAAGTGTCAGATTTTAGAATATTTAATTTTTATCATTTCCCAGTACATAAAAGCTTCCTAGTTCATGAATCATTAGACTCACAGGTTGCAAAAACATTTCTCCTTTTTACTCACCCACACTTCTTCTTCAGAACAAATGTGGCTAATCCACAAAATCTCTGCACGTCTTCTCTTTAGATCACATACTGTGTCAAATGTATAAGGTCTCTGTCATTTTAATTTTTGGATCTAAGTAAGGCACCTAAGATGATGTACTTTATCCCACTTTTTCACTACACACTCACCTGTGGAATTTTGTAGAGTTCCAGCAGTGTCCCCATTTGGACAGCAATGCTGCTTTCTGATATTACAGCAACAGACTTGTTCTGTTTCCTACATGTGTAATTAGGAACGTGCTTTTCCAGTCCCACAAGCCAGATGAAGGGGTTCTCCATCACAGTCATATGACTGTGCATGACATTATAGAGACCAAATCCCAAGGTCATGTTGGGTAAAAGATAGGGGTTTTTGTTGATCTCTTCAATAGCGAAAACCAAGGCCAGAACATACTGGTAGTTTTTGGACTGAAACCTGCATGAAAGGCACAAGGATCTTTAAGGGAAAATCCTCCAATCCAGATTATCATCAATTCTGTGATTACTGTGAGAGATGGAATGGTCATGGCCAAACATTCATATGTTCTAATCCATATGTGTAGATTTGCTGAGTACAGAGTGTGAACTGTTGTATTTGCAGGACACATGTCCTCACCAGAACCAAAGCTGCTACCAACTTTTACTGGTTTCCAAGCCTAAATGATTCTGAAAAATTAGATCTGCTTTTACATCATAATGTCTTGGGCATGTTATCCCATGGTTGTCCATGTAGCCAAAGAGCATGATCTTATTTTTGGATGCAAACCTCATCAATTTTAATCATCTCTGGCAACAGCTACCTCTTCTAAGTGTTTGTATTTGATATCTAAAGTAAATGCTACAACAGGCTCTGGAATGCCCTCTCTAAAGTTCATGCACACCTAGGAGTACACTCCAGTTGTCAAAGAAAGCATGACAAGGAAACGCATATCATCTTTAGCACTGCCTCTAAATGTTTCCTACATCCACAAACTACAATGATTCTTCATCTTACCACATCATTAAGTGCTTCTTGAAATAGCAGTCATATGATCATAAGGCTGCAGGTTGTAAAGGGAAAAGAGAGTACCTCAATTGAAGGCTATGTGTTCAAAAAGAGGGATGATGTCACAGTACTGAGAATGGTAGATGGGAGTCTGTAATTGATCCTGAAAAATCTCTTCCCCATCATACTTACCCATCAACCAGCATCACAAGCCAAGAAAATAAAATCGAATTCAGAGATTGAAAGAAGGGAAATAGTGAAAAGGGAGGAGCACTTTAGAGAAGCTGGAAACTACTCCCTGGTGAACATGAATCACTGGGCTACGAGGCACCTGATGCTTTACAATTAAGCCAGTCATGCATTTAGAACACTAAACATATGTGAAAGTAAATCATTATGAGTGATATCAGTATTTACTCCAAACCGGCCTTCTTCACTCACGTTTTCCTACAATATTGAATATAAATAGCCTTACATGTGAAGGAAATGATGCATTTCTACTTTTCATTATGAGTGATATCAGTATTTACTCCAAACAGGCCTTCTTCACTCAACTTTTCCTACAATATTGAATATAAATAGCCTTCCATGCAAAGAAAATGATGCATTTCTACTTTCTAGGATCTGACATTTCACAAAAAATGCAAATGAGGAGCCCCTTGTATTTATTTCTGATGTCCTGTGTGTTAATTCCTTATGAATAGACTAGGTCATGTACACTGCTTGTTAAGGGTCACGTGTTCTCCAGAGGAAGTGACAGTTTTTCAGTTCTTGGTCCTTGCTGTAACATAATATGGATATATGTATGCATATTATATATGTATTCTCTCTATATATCTATACATAGGTATACTATAACCATGCACACAGTAGCTATATATATAGTTTTTTATGTATATATAATTTGCATACATATTTGCTATCCAAATATGTCATTCATACTTTGTAGAATGAGGAAATTTGAAAATCATTGCTATGAATCAAATAAAATTCAGTTTTGTATTTCATATATCTGTTTCTCTCCTCATTACTATGACACTTCCATTATTCCGCATCCTCTAAATTCTTTCTCCAGCTGCTGCCTTGTACCAAAATGTCTAGACGGCTCTTGGACACACTGGAATTTGTAAGAGTTTATCTCTTTTATGCTGTGTTCTTTATCTCTAAAAACAGTTTATCAGTAACTGTTGTATATTTAAAGTTAGTGAATCTAACATTGGAGGGTATAGCACCTAAATCTATTGACAGTTCAGTATTTCTTGTTTTTCCAAGTATCATCAACAAAGATATTTTCCCTGAGTTTATTAAGATTTGATTATGATCTCCAGTTTGCATGGCATACATCTTGGAGGAACATAGCCTCTTTTCCTACTACTGGAAAGTCACTATTTCCTCGTCTCCATCATTAAGGGTACACTTAAATGATGTGCTGCATGCATAACCAGGGGGAATACTACTACTAATGAATAAATATTTCATGAATTGGACCCCATGTACACATATTAAGTTAGGTAAATTTATAAAAATCAATGTGAAGTGAGTAATATTGCTACACCAAGCTAGTATACATTAGATTTTTTTCAGCAGAGATATTTGGACAAATGCCTAAACTACTTCATCAGTTGCATCACCTTGGTGGCAACAACTATACTTCTCAAATCCATTGGCTTTAATGATACTGAAATGATCTATGTCCTAATACCTACCTTCTACCAAAGTTCTATGCAGCTGCAACCTACTTCCTGTAGCCTTACAGTAGAAAACAATTAGAAAATTGTCACCCTCATAAACAGGTTTGAAGAAAACAATTCCGCTGTCCTACAAGATACTATATTCTGCATGCATGAAATTTATATATGCTATATATGTATATGAAATATTTATATTTAGTTACAAATAAAGGATCTTCAAGAGGGGCAAAAACAGAATAATCCCCCTTAAGAAATCTATTTTGCCCAGAAAAGGCAGAATCAGGGAAACACTGTAAATGTAGTAGATTACAACCATTGAAATTCTTATGAGTATATTCATCAGTAAAATATAATTATTATATTTGTGCAAAGGTGTTGCCCTGAGATTACTTTTACATAGAAAAAAATTTTGAATCTTTTCTCCTTTACAACTGTAGAAGAAATGAAGTGTTCTCATGGCCCCAAATCTAGTACGTAGCAGAAAAGAGTGTGAGCACATGTGGAAGAGCTCATGTAACTCAGTTCATTCATTTCAGTGCATGGGTTCTGTAAGAATCTACTACTGAGGCACAATAGGCCCCGGAGCTGATGAAAGTGGACAGGGAAGGATAGGAGGATACCGACCAGATTCTGGTTCCCCCTCTGATGAGACAACATTTCCCTGAGCCATCCACGGTGCCAGGCAGAAAGAGATGTCTTCCTCATGCCCCAAATCAATTACCAGCAGTTTTTAGGAGGGACAGAAGATGGACAGGGCAGGGATACAGAACATATTTGCCTATCCATTTGCAGACCCAATAAAAAGTAGCTAATATGTAAATAAATGGAAAATGGTTATGGCAAGGAGAACTTACCATCTGAATCTGCGATATTTGCTGAAACTTCTCTCAATTCTGTGAACATCATATGTGTAAATGTGCAAAAAAGCAGCGATCTCAATATCTCCATCCTTGTAAAAACTCTGTTCCATCTGGGAATAGCAGTCGCGACCATCCTGACATGTCACAAGGAGATACAGCTGCAGAAAGAGGACGAGAAAAATCAAAGAAAACATCTGTGAAAAACCCTATGAGACAAGAGCACTGGAACATGCAGGGTCATGCAGGTGGAAACATAGTGTGTGTGTGTGTGTGTGTGTGTGTGATTGCTTGAAACAAGTCACTTTAATACTGCTCCATCTGACCTCTTTCCACCAGCTGTCCACTCATCCATGGGGGAATCTGATACTTTTCTGCCCCGAGGCTCTGTAGTTCAGGTCTTCTGTCCTGGTGAAAAACACAAGTAGAAAAACATGTTTGTGAATCATCCTCTTCACCCAGGTGCCAGGATTTCCTCCAAGTCCATGGATACAAAGACTCAAGGGAGAGACTCCTGCTAGTTACATTTGGTCCAAGGGCTTTGTCAATAAACCACTCCATGAACTTTTGGCAATTATGTACCAGGATTGCATCAGAGGGCATGGAGGGAGGCATCAGGTGAGGCTTTCAGTAAGCTTTCAGACCAGAAATCTCCAGTGTCACACACTACAATGACTCAAAGTGCAACAGGGCAGCCTCCCTCAAGCAGTGTTCTGGGAAGCCACAAATCACTTTGATAGCACATAGACTCCAAACCAATCCTGTTTACAGAGATTCCCACTAGGACATGTGGTTTTCAATCACTGTGAAACCAGTAATCAGCCTAAATTCAGATATGTCCATTCTGCATTTCTAATCACTTCATCTTTAGTTGTAAAACATAAAAAACTTCCACATTGCTGTTAACCATGGTAATCCCATGATGATCTGCTTTTGCACCTACAACCTTGGTTGGTGCTCACATGAGAACCTGGGACTATTTGAGTACTTATACCTTTTTTACTCTAAGCAGACAATACCAGCTGGAAGTCACCTCTTTATTCCCACCACCACAAACACCAAGGGCAGAATCATGCATGCAGACACCTGCACTTCTTGAATGCAAGTGACTTTCAGGATGCTTATGTAGGACACCATCAGGGCAGCTAGGTACCATTAAACCTTTGCCAAACCACAGACTGTACAAGATGAGAGTGAACAAAATGGATATCATGTCCTATAGGCAATAATGAGTGAAAGGAGCCAAGAGCCACCATAAAAAAATGGGGCTCCTGAGACAAACCGTTCCAGAGACGGCCTTGGGAAATGGGGAGTAAACCAGTTCACAGAGAAAGCAGTCAGCTACTAACCAGAGATACACAGAACACCTGCCTTGTAGATAAGCCCCTTCCCTACGCTTGCTCAAGGTTAACTAAGAAAGCTGCAGGGCACGTAGCCACCCCTTTCTGCTCTTCAATGACCCCCTCCCCTTATCCAAGCTTCCGTTTCTCCTCCTCCTCGACGACCTCCTCCCCTTGTAGTTGCCCAATAAACTTACGCCACCCTATGGTATGTTAATTTTGTGGTTTTGCCCTTTAAAAACTGTGTGAGATAGCTGCTCGGGGCTCCTCTCACTTGCTTGCTGCTTGCAGCAGTAGGGGGCCCATTTGCGCAAATGAAATAAAATTACCTCCTGCTCTATTGCGTCATCTGGTCTGGAGTCTGTGTTTCTGGGGTCGTCACAAGAGGACACCGCTTTTGGGGTCCTACAATGAGGATCAAAACTGACTAATCATTTGTGCTTGTATACCTGTGTGAGGTATTGCCAATAGAATAAATCTAATAAGGGGGGTAAGAAAGGGCATATATGTGAACTCTATTTTTCCACTCAAAAGTTTTTTAAACTCAAATTACTGTAAATGTGGTGCCTAATATTTTAAGTAAAACACATTTTTCATTGCTTAGCCACTTCTCTGATGCCATTAGGGAGATTTTGATTAGGGGTACACGCAAAGTGAGATGCAGTATAGGAACAAAATACAAAACAGAATTCAGTGACTTGCCTAAAATTGAAAATATAATTTCTTGATGAGTTAAACTTATTACTGATACATTGATGAAGCTTGTTGTCTATTCAGTTAAACAAGAAAAATAAATCTAAATCAGAGAGCAAGCATCCGCTGTTCTCTCTAATGTGTAGGAACTAAAAATAGAGTCAATCTTAATGCACTCCATTCACTGAAAATAAATTGGGAATGGAGAGGATGAATTCCATGCAATGAGGAGGCTTCAGAAAATTCATGGAAAATGTGTGTTATGAAACAGTTATGGACAATTTTTTTAAAAATTAGCACCCAGATTTCTTCAATATTTTTGCTTAAGTGTTTCTTTCATATTTAACATTTTCATCTTCTATATCCTTAATGCTGCATTTGACATTTTTTAGAGTTTGTGATGAATGCTTCAATTCTAGAACTTCAGACTTAATTCAGGGAAATATATATTCTAATTGCATAAACTTATATGGAATCTGAAATCATACATTTATGTCAAATTGAACTTTAGCAACAACATCATAAAAGTTGATAATATTTTTTTCTATTTGAGACTTTTTATAATTTATATTGAAGTCCAATATCATGTAGGTTATTGCAAAGCAATTTCCAAAAATAAAAATACGTGGACATTTGAGTGGGTAGGTACAGAGTTCTCTGTGTGTACAGGGAACACACACATGAACTTACACTCATTCTACATCGAGAACACTGTCTCCAATGGACTATCCTGGACTATCTTCTCAGGCTCAATACACTTCAAATCAAAAGTAGAAATTGTCCCTTTTTCCCCACATCCTCACCAGCATCTGTTGTTGGTAGATTTCTGTATGTGAGCCATTCTAACCGGGGTGAGGTGAAACCTCATTGTGGTTTTGATTTGCATTTCCCTGATTGCTAGTGACCTTGAACATTTTTTCATGTGCCTGTTGGCCATTTGGATTTCCTCTTTTGAAAAATGTCTATTGAGGTCCTTGGCCCATCTCTTAAGTGGGTTGTTGGTATTGTTTTTGTGGAGTTTCTTGATCTCTTTGTAGATTCTGGTTATTAACCCTTTATCTGTTGCATAGTTTGCAAATATTTTTTTCCATTCTGTTGGGTGTCTCTTCACTCTCCTGACTGTTTCTTTTGCAGTACAGAAACTTCTCAATTTGATGCAATTCCAATAGTTGATTTTGGCTTTGACTGCCTGTGCCTCCCGGGTCTTTTCCAGAAACTCTTTGCCTGTGCCAATATCTTGAAGGGTTTCTGTTGGTGGGAATGCAAACTGGTCAAGCCACTATGGAAGTCAGTCTGGAGATTCCTCAGAAACCTGAAGATAACCCTACCGTTCGACCCAGCCATCCCACTCCTTGGAATTTACCCAAAGGAATTTAAATTGGCAAACAAAAAAGCGGCCCTAATGTTTATCGCAGCACAATTCACAATAGCCAAGACCTGGAACCAACCTACATGCCCATCAACGGTAGACTGGATAAAGAAATTATGGGATATGTACTCTTTAGAATACTATACCGCAGTAAGAAACAATGAAAAAAAAGTAGAAATTGCTATAAGTACATGGTAACATTAATGTCATAGCAAGCAGTAAAGGAAACTAAGAAAATTCGCAATGCAGAGGTGACCTGGCATGTCAGAACTCACTGTATCAATTCTCAGTAACTCCAAATTAGCTATGCTGGTATGTAAAGTCTACAACACTGCATTTTTAACCATTCTGAATTATGTCCCAGCGAAAAATCCCCATTTCCTCCAACTTCCAGCCATACTTAATCTGATGCAGCTCCTCTGAATATAACAGAACATGACACTTTGTTTGTGTTGCCATTTCTGGTAATCCATCAGGAATCTGTTTCCACCATTATCCATCTAACCTAGGAATAATACTACTGATTACTGAAGAGAGACCAAGATGGCTGAATGAGAAGGACATACTGTTATAATCTAGGAGGAGATATAAAAGTAAAAGTGGAAGAAATACATTCTCCTGGGATAGTTAGAGAGAAAACCACAGTGGGAATTCTATGGAAAGAAGAATGCTGTGGATCAGTGTGGAAGGTGCAGACATACAGTATGTTCAAGGACACAACAGACAATTCCAGCAGCCAAGAGCCATAGAAAGCAACAGTGTTGGAGAGGGAGGGGAGATCAGACTGCAGTGCCTGAGCCACTGGTTATGTAATTGGAAGGAGAGATTTCAAGAGTCAACCACCTGAGAGAAAATTGGAGAATATGGCTACATATCCTTCCAGATACATGTTTCCAACATACAAATTAAAAAACAGAAGGGACAATACAAATATCATCCAAACTGCATAGAGGAATTGAACAGACATTGCTGCACAAATAGAAGAGCCAAAGGCCTTACCAAGGGTGCTAAACATTAGTAAACTCGGAATACTAGTCAAAATCACACTGAGATATCACCTCACATCTGCTCGATTGGCTACAATAATTTTTGTTTTAAAGATTTTGTTTGAAAGGAAGAGTGAGGGAGTGAATGTGAGTGATACAGTCAGAAAGAGAGAGAGAGAGAGAGTATCTTCCATCCCATGGTTCACTCTCCAAATGATCACAACAGCTGGAGCTGAGCTGATCCAAAGACAGGAGCCAGGGGCTTCTTCAGGTCTTCCAAATAGCTGCAAAGGACCAAAGACTTGGGCCATCTTCCACTGCTTTCCCTGGCCATGAAAGGGACTTGGATCCTTAGGGATCTTTGGTAAATGTCTCCAACCATGATTATTATCAACTCCAAACTTAGAACTACTAGAGAATGAATGTTTTGTGCAAATATGGGGAGGTTGAAATACTGCTCTGTAGCATGATTATAGTTGGTGAGGTCTTTGGGTGGTAATAGCAATTTTTTATGGCTTACCTAGTTGCTTTTTGCAATTTTCAATATGAGACTACAGAGAGAGTTTGTTACATCTCTCTAATAGGTGAAGACTGTAAGAAGAGGAAAGGAAAACTATCTTTAGTGGAGGCAGGAAACGTGTCCTGGACAAACACCAACCTCATGTATATTGATCCTAGTCTTACCAGCCTCAGCAATTCTGAAAAATAAATTTCTGTTCTTAGGTCAAAAAGTCATGGTATGTTATGACTAACAAAACAAGTAAATTGGGATGAACACTAGTTACTCTCATTTGTGTCAACAGACAGCTCTCCCAAGTCCTTGGATTTTGTATTTGTAGCAATGCCAGAACAGGCTCTGGAATTTTCTATCTAAATTACATGTTCCACAAGGAAGAGAAACTGATTTTCAAAGGAAAGCAAAATGAATTAAATACAAATCAGTCTTGCTGAATTTTGCACATGTGCCATCATGGACCAAAAATGGTTATATATATTAGCACATCATTAAATGACTCCTCGAACAGCATCATCATGAACATGAATTTGTGCAAGGTCTTGGGAAAGAATAACTCATCTGAGGGCTATGTGGCTAGCAGAGGCAGGATATCTAAGTGTGGAGCATGGTGGAGTACAAGGCTTGGCATTTATAACTGTTAAGCCTCCTCCTTTTCAAAACTGGGCATTAGCTCCCACCCCAGATCAGGAAACTAATTCAGATTCAAAGCCTGAATGAAGGAGAATCTTAAATGCAGAACATTTAGAAGATGTCAGAATCACTGGGGGGACTTCAAGTACTGTAGATCAAAAGGCACTGCACCTAGTGAAGCTGAATGGCTG